TAGTTAGTAGTAGTTCGTAGTAGCTAGTAGTAGCTAGTAGTAGTAGGTAGTAGTAAGTAGTTGTAGTAGTGTAGAACACTAGTAAGTAGTAGTAGGAGCCATGGCGCGCTTTCTGGGGCCTGTCTTGTCCTGCGGGGGGGGGGGGGCGGGGGAGGGTGGGGGCGGGGGGGGGGCGGGGGGGGGGTGGGGAGTGGGGGGTGGGGGGGGGGGGGTGGGGGGGTGGGGGCGGGGGGGGGGTGGGGGGGTGGGGGGGTGGGGGGGTGGGGGGGTGGGGGGGGGGTTGGGTACGTCCGGGCCCGTGAATTTCCCTGCCTGAACCTGAAGTGCACAAGCAGAATATATTAAATGCAATATATTTTTCGTATGCCTGATATATTATTTTCTTTTATTATGCTTCGTACTTATTACTATTCCTTTATCTTACATATCATACATATTATATATTACATATTACATACTATGTAGCATAAGATAAATAGTGTACTATGGGTCTGTTATATATTATATATTTCATGTTCTATATTCTATATATATTACATGATCCCAAGGGCTGTCAGCAAAGCCCCAAAACCTGGGAGTGCTCAAGGTGCAGACTGCGTGAGGAAAACATCTGTCTCTGTCTTTGACAATTTTTTGGGGTTTAGGCTTGAAGGTTTTACAGCCTCACAACCCCAAACCCTCAAGTGCAAACCCAAAAGTCCTTTGACCTAGGTTTTACGGTTTACAGTAGGGTTTAGGTTTTGTCGGGTTTCGCGTTTCGGGCTTCGATTTCGGGCTTAAAATTAGTTAGCGCGATCTTCGCGTTTTGAGACTTTTTACACACATGTCCAAACACATCGCAAAAAACATGGTTTCCAACACCTCACACACCCCAAAGCACCAGGCGCCCTGAGGCGCGCAACCCTAGTAGTAGTAGTAGTAGTAGTAGTAGTAGTAGTAGTAGTAGTAGTAGTAGTAGTAGTAGTAGTAGTAGTAGTAGAAGTAGTAGTAGTAGTAGTAGTAGTAGTAGTAGTAGTTAGTAGTAGTAGTAGTAGTAGTAGTAGTAGTAGTAGTAGTAGTAGTAGTAGTAGTAGTAGTAGTAGTAGTAGTAGTAGTAGTAGTAGTAGTAGTAGTAGTAGTAGTAGTAGTAGTAGTGTAGTAGTAGTAGTAGTAGTAGTAGTAGTAGTAGTAGTAGTAGTAGTAGTAGTAGTAGTAGTAGTAGTAGTAGTAGTAGTAGTAGTAGTAGTAGTAGTAGTAGAAGTGGAAGTGGAAGTGGAAGTGTAAGAGGAAGTGGAATTGGAAGTAGAAGTAGAAAGTAGAAAGTAGCAGTAGAAGTAAAAGTAAAGTAAAAGTAGAAGTAGAATTAGTTTACTGGTGGTCAACAGATGCAGGCTGACATGCCCCGCAGTTATCGTCAATGCTTCACACTCCGTCACATTCAAAAAGCTCAGAATGTTCAATGAGGTCTTCAGGAAGCTCATCTAAGGCACCGAGCGACTGATCGCTGGTGATTTAATGTTTCGATTCAAGAGGCATGTTGCATCTTAGATGCAGTGCTAGAACCAATTTGCAGATCTTTTCGGCAAAAAATGATGCAAGGCACCATTTCCGTCATGAAAATTGTTAAGTTTTCACCAAACACCCTAAAGATCACAAGCAGTCTAGCAGGTACGTTTGCACGACAATCTGGATGGGTTTTCGTTGGCCCAGGCCATCCAGTAGACCCGAGGCCCCCTGCTCTGAAATAATCGTACTTTTAACGATGATTCATCCCTTTGCGAATCGGGTTCCCCGCACAGACACACACGGTATGGACAAAACCAATTACGAACTGCTGCTGTTAACCATGCAGCCATGTGAATCGCATTGCCACAAAGCGAAACCAAGCTAGCCTTTTCCAACGCGACGTCGGAACGTTGTTCTTGTGCTTTTTTGTCCGTTTTTTATTTCTCAGCTTGCCTGTTGCTTGCTTGTGTTGCATCGCTGGATTCCGCTGGAGGGATGGCATCGTGAATGCAGCAAGCTCTCCTGGAACATGAGGGGTCGTTAGGAGCCCGTCCCCCAAGGAGGGTTGCTTGGGGTTCTGATTCTGTTTCTTTTTTGGATTCGTGTTGCTCTGTGCTTCCGTGGCCGTTCAAGAAAGACTCCTCGCGCCATCTGCTCATTCACGCTCAGGGCAGTCAAGGCAGGCTCGATTCGTTTTGCAGGCGTCTTTGTGCGGATCAAGCGGTTTTTGACAAGGCTCATCATGGCGGACGAGGACGAGACACAGCAAGTTGTTTGTTGAACGTCAGTAAGCCGTCAAACTACATGTTCCGAAGTCTTGTGGTTGCAAGATACGAGGCAGAGTTTGCCAGAGCTTGCTGTGCCCTTCGCGAGGATGATCATCACTTCGAGTCGACCGATGCAGGTGCCTCGCACACCTACCCACAGCAGGCGCGAAACCAACCCTGGAATCCAAAACGTTTCTTGAAGAGAGAACTGTGCGCAGGCTGGTGAGGTCCGAAAAGGTTCGCACCTGATGATCAAGGGCCGTCCTTGCAAGTGCCCGAGCGGCATGTGGTTTTCAGAGCGTTCGAGGCTGCAAGGAAGTGTGACAGTGATAGGCAGTGATAGCAGTCATCGAGCTGTAGTGAGGGGGTTTCAGCAAACGATGCCCTAACAACTGTCGGGTTGGGTTTTGGAGTGGTTGTGGCATGTTCTGGCTATTTTCAACAGAGCCGAGGTGTGTCGAGGTTTCGACCTCTAAGACCGGAAAGCACGGCCACGCGAAGGCTCACATTGTGGCCATCGATATCTTCACAGGCGAGGGAGTTGAGTGTTGTTCGCATGCGGGAAGAGTGTTTTGGCTAGTTCGGCTGCCAAGTGTGGTACAGATGGCCGCGCATGGCTTGCTCACAAGGCAAGAAGATGGAGGACCTTTGCCCCGTCTCCCACAACTTGGAGGTGCCGTTCGTCAAGAGGACCGAGTACCAGGTGCTCAACGCTGATGCCGACACAGGACGGGAGTTCGCTCGTCAGCCGTTAAAAGTGCGGCATGTATGGCACTTGTTTGAGCTCTTGTGCCCGGCCAGGAGAGGTGAGTCTGCTGCAGGAAAGCGGAGACACGAAGGACAGTCTCCGAATCCGCGCGTTTTCAGTTTCCGAATCCGCAGCCGACCTGTTGAACCCACACACTTCCCAGAAAAAGAAGAAGTGCGATTGTGTCGTAGATGGCCAAGTATCATCAGGCATTAATCATCAGGTAGCCGCATGTTGCGTGCTAACTCGCGTGGCGCAGCTGGCTGTGAGGATGATCTCAACCTCCCTACCTTTGTCAAGATCGGAGAGCCTACGGATGAAGAGCCTAAACTGCATGTCGTTCACTCACAGTCGTACACTCGCAGTCCAGCGCCTGGTGCAGCCATCACTGCACTATGATGCACTATGGCCGCGGACTGTCGGTGTCTCCTATAGAGTCGAAAGTACCCCCTGTCAAGCTTTTTCGAGACAAGTCGATCAAAGTCACGTGGCACGAGAAAAGCTTCTAGCGACATTGCTGGTAGTCCTTGAGTCTCTGGTTATATAGTGGCATGGTATGGCAGTGTTGGTGCTCGTTGCAGTGTGGTTTGCGAGTAGCCCATTGAGGACAAGAAGATCACTTCGGAGCTGCTGGACGAGTTCGCCAAAGGCTGCACGGCTTCACCCCCGTTTTGAAGCGGTCGATGTTGGCTCATCTGCAAGGGACTTTCAAGGGAGGCTTGCGACTTGCCAGGTGAGAAGTCGGTTTTCGCCATTGTGCAAGCCGCGTGCGGAGAAGAGAAGATCGTTGGTATCAAGTACGTGTGAAGAGGCGATGGATCGCCCCAAACCACGTAACCCATCTGTGCGACGTCTGCCTGGCATTTGCACTTGTTGAACTACCTGAACCCCCTGCCTGCCGCTGTGCTTAACCTGCGCACAATGGATTCTAAACCCTACACCCTAAACCCTACACCCTAATCCCTAATCCCTAAACCCTAAACCCTAATCCCTAAACCCTAAACCCTAAACCATAAACCCCAAACCCTAAACCCCGGTTCGCAATTCGCTGGGAAGGCAGCATCGACTGGCGTGGCCATCGAGCCTCTGAGATTTGGCGTCGAATTTTGCAGAAGAAGAATACCTTGCTAGAATCTACAAGCCCTGCGAAGCATCCAGCTATATCCAGTTCCTGATGTAACAAAATCCTACGACGCGCTTTGGTACCCTGAAGATAGGGGCGCTAGTGTTTGTGTTCCGCCCTAGGCCCTTAACCCAGAAAATCCTGAAAACCCTTCCACTGGCAGACAGAGCTCGCGGTCCTTCGCAGGGCTTGGTGGATGGCCTGCCCATGCGAGTGGGACGGACAGGACTTTCCATAGGATGAGTCGGCACTGCGCAGACATTTTGAGAGGGTTTAGGGTTTAGGGTAAGAAGGATTCCTCAGTGCTGACCTGATTTGCTGGTGGCTTCGTCACTCCCTGAAGCAGAAGACCAGCTGTGTTTGGAAAGCGCTGCGCAAGAGAAAAGGCTGTTTTTGCCCTGAGAGAGTGCCCAGGAATCACTCGATCTTGACTAGTAGGGTTTGGGGTCCGGGGTTTAGGGTTTAGTGTTTGGGGTTCGGGGTTAAGGGATGTCAATGTCTATTCCTTGATGGGGGGGTCTCGCTTTCTCTGGGATCCTTGGAAACGCAGACCTTTGAACTTAGACTGCCCAAAACCCTGAAACTCCCGCAGTGCCTTGCCCCAAAACCCTAGAGCACGCTAAGCCCTAGCACCCTAAAACTCCGAAGTTTGCAGATTTGTCTACCCCGGGTTAGGGCTGTTAGGGCATGTGAGGGGTTTAGGGTTGCTAAGGGTTTAGGGGTTTGGGGTTTAGGGTTTAGGGTTTAGGGTGTAGGGCGCAGGGTTTAGGACTCTGCGGCTGCTCAAGACAGACTCCTCGCGCCATCTGCCCCATTTGCGCTCAAGGCGGGCTCGACCTTCTCTTGCAGGAGTCTTTGTTTACCCTAAACCCTAAACCCTAAACCCTAAACCCTAAACCCTGAACCCTGAACCCTAAACCCTAAACCCTAAACCGCTTTGACAAGGCAACTCCCATCATGGCGGACGAGGACGAGACACAGCAAGCTGTTTGTTGAACGGCAGTAAGCCGTCAAACTACATGTTCCGAAGTCTTGTGGTTGCAAGATACGAGGCAGAGTTTGCCAGAGCTAGCTGTGCCCTTCGCGAGGATGATCATCACTTCGAGTCGACCGATGCAGGTGCCTCGCACACCTACCCACAGCAGGCGCGAAACCAACCCTGGAATCCGAAACGTTTCTTGAAGAGAGAACTGTGCGCAGGCTGGTGAGGTCCGAAAGGGTTCGCACCTGATGATCAAGGGCCGTCCTTGCAAGTGCCCGAGCGGCATTTTGTTTTCAGAGCGTTCGAGGCTGCAAGGAAGTGTGACAGTGATAGGCAGTGATAGCAGTCATCGAGCTGTAGTGAGGGGGTTTCAGCAAACGACGCCCCTAACAACTGTCGGGTTGGGTTTTGGAGTGGTTGTGGCATGTTCTGGCTATTTTCAACTGAGCCGAGGTGTGTCGAGGTCTCGACCTCTAAGACCGGAAAGCACGGCCACGCGAAGGCTCACATTGTGGCCATCGATATCTTCACAGGCGAGGGAGTTGAGTGTTGTTCGCATGCGGGAAGAGTGTTTTGGCTAGTTCGGCTGCCAACTGGGGTACAGATGGCCGCGCATGGCTTGCTCACAAGGCAAGAAGATGGAGGACCTTTGCCCCGTCTCCCACAACTTGGAGGTGCCGTTCGTCAAGAGGACCGAGTACCAGGTGCTCAACGCTGATGCCGACACAGGAGGGGATTCGCTCGTCGGCATGTATGGCACTTGTTTGAGCTCTTGTGCCCGGCCAGGAGAGGTGAGTCTGCTGCAGGAAAGCGGAGACACGAAGGAGAGTCTCCGAATCCGCGCGTTTTCAGTTTCCGAATCCGCAGCCGACCTGTTGAACCCACACACCTCCCAGAAAAGAAGAAGTGCGATTGTGTTGTAGATGGCCAAGTATCATCAGGCATTAATCATCAGGTAGCCGCATGTTGCGTGCTAACTCGCGTGGCACAGCTGGCTGTGAGGATGATCTCAACCTCCCTACCTTTGTCAAGATCGGAGAGCCTACGGATGAAGAGCCTAAACTGCATGTGGTTCACTCACAGTCGTACACTCGCAGTCCAGCGCCTGCTGCAGCCATCACTGCACTATGATGCACTATGGCCGCGGACTGTCGGTGTCTCCTATAGAGTCGAAAGTGCCCCCCCCCTGTCAAGCTTTTTCGAGACAAGTCGATCAAAGTCACGTGGCACGAGACAAGCTTCTATCGACACTGCTGGTAGTCCTTGCGTCTCTGGTTAGATAGTGGCATGGTATGGCAGTGTTGGTGCCCGTTGCAGTGTGGTTTGCGAGTAGCCCACTGAGGACAAGAAGATCACTTCGGAGCTGTTGGACGAGTTCGCCAAAGGCTGCGCGGCTTCACCCCCGTTTTGAAGCGGTCGATGTGGCTCATCTGCAAGGGACTTCTAAGGGAGGCTTGCTACTTGCGAGGTGAGAAGTCGGTTTTCGCCATTGTGCAAGCCGCGTGCGGAGAAGAGAAGATCGTTGGTATCAAGTACGTCTGAGAGGCAGCTGAGTTGACCTCGGTTCTGGGCCCTTTCAGGGGGGAGTCTCCATCATGGTATGTTTTCGTATCGGATGCGAGTTTGTAGCACCTCATCGCAAAAGCTACCAGAGGGCCTGGTCAGCTCCAGTTACCACTGCCGATTTTGCATATGGGGGGGGGGGTTGTTACAGCTTAGGGTCCCAGTTTAAGGGTTGCAGGGCTGGGGTAGGGTTCATAAGAACAAGGAGACCGCCGCAGGGATCCTGATTTAGAACAACCCCCCCCATACTATCGTGGCTTCTTGAGCAAGGTCCACACGAGCCGAGATTGAAAGGTCACTCGTCAGTGCAGACAACCCACTAGACCGATAATTTCTCTCCATTTTGCTTCCCGTGCTTTGGGAGTCTGGCAATTTCAGAAGAGCTTGTGGATCAGATGGGTAGGACTCTCCATGCACAGCTGCACTTTCCAAATCTGCTTCAGGAGACCATGCTTTTTTGCCCTCCATATTGTTCTTTTCCTATTCATTTCGATGCAGCGTGCAGAGAGCACTGTCAGAAGGATGAGCTTCTTGGACAGGAAGAGGGTCGCAATGGCGTCAGCTTTTTCCTTTGCAATTTGGAGCTGGGCGTGCGGAGCAAATGGGCTTGGCTTTGCACAGCCCCTTAAAGGCCTGAACCCTCTTATAAACCCTAAACCCCAAACCCTAAACCCTAAACCCTAAACCCCAAACCCTAAACCCTAAACCCTAAACCCTATGCATGTGGGTCGCGCTGCAAACCTTGGTTGCGGAACCTGCAGAAGCCCTGGCTCGGAGCAACTCGAGTAGCCCCGCTGGTGGAGTGAGCCGGACACCGCCACTTGGAGCCCGCGGGAAAAATGGGGTTTAGGGTTTAGGGTTTAGGGTTTAGGGTTTAAGGTTTTGGGTTTAGGGTTTGGGGTTGAGGGTTTAGGGTCTGGGGTTGAGGGTTTAGGGTTTCGGGTTGAGGGTTGAGGGGTTAAGGTTTTCAAGGGATGAAGGCTCCCCCTAAGGTCGTGCCCTTAAGTGTTTTCCTTAACGTACTCCTTTCCTTAGAGGATCTTAAAACTTAGGGTCCAAGGTAGAGTCCCTGGACAGGGGTGCAAAGGGAGAGGCTGGGGAGGTTATTCGACTTCGGCATTTGGCGGCAGCGTGAAACGTGCAGCGCTCTGAGGATACCATGGCCCGACGTCCGATTCTGGCCATTGCTCTCTTGGGGGCCGCTCTGTGCCGCGCCCAGTCACGCCCGCCGATGGTTTTCAGTCATATGTCATGTGTGTCACAATGAGAAGAAAGAACGCCCAACACAGAATCTTTGAGCACAGTTTGCAGGGTCTCTTGGTACGCTTAGGCTTGTAGCGTTGGCGAGGCGTATTGAGGCATCTGTCGACGTATCGAGGTGCTACCTGGGCCTGACGCCTGGCAGCAGCTTCATTGCGCCGAAGTCTGCCCGGAGCCTCGAAGTCCGAGATTGTGTCGGATGGTTACAGCGGGTATGCCGGCGATTTGCGGCGACCGAAGGTCCAGAGCTCCGTTGAGGTTCAGAAAGGACAGCTGGAAGGCCCTCAGCGATTGGGACATGTCCCTGGTCATGTGCAGACTGTAGGGTCTGTAGCTGCAGGTGTGGCCCTGGGCCTTGGGGCTGGCCTGCTTACCGCAGAGCCTGCGTACGCGAATGCCCGTGCCCAAGTCAAGCTCACAACGTGTGCTTGAGAGTCATCTGCGAGACTCGACATGGACAAGCGGGGTCCAGCGACGGTGAGGTGTGGAATGATGAGATCCTCCCGTACTCCGTGAGCATCAGCTTCGCCATCATCTGGGACTGGGTCCCAGTATAACTCGTGCCATACTTCAGGCACTCGGTAGCATGAACCATGCAGATGGGATGTTTCGCTCAGGGTATCATCTTGGGCTTCGTCCTGCTCCGGCTGCAGGAAGCCTTCCCGGAGTGAGCCTCCCGACGGAATGAGGGACAAGCCTCGACAACGGACAGTTGATTGCCAGGGGCTCTTTAAACTTTAAGCGGCTTAGCATCGTTTACATAGCATCTGAGGTGATCAGCGACATCGCGCAGGTTTCTGAGTTGGCTTGAACAATCGACTGATATTAATTGACCTAATCCAGGGCAGCTGCAAGACAGCTTTTTTCCCAAGCGGCCACCGGCCCGACGGCACAAGATGCCCCACGTAAGCCTAGGACCACGGACACACACCCAGACAAGCACCTGGTTGTAGGCCCGACAGGAAGAGCCGGGTTGGCGGCGCAACCATCAGACTTTCTGCTAGCTTGCGGAAGGGACGAGGCGTCTGGGCAAAAATGGTGCCATCTTGTGCCATCTCAAGCTTTTGCCTCTCGACCGTAAACCCTAAACAACACAAAAAACCTGAACTCTAAGCCCTAAGCCCTAAACCCTGAACCCTAAACGTTAAATCATGGACAGCTTACCCCCCCCTCCTATACCCCCCCCTCCCCCCCACAAAGCTCTTAGTGAGCATGGACGCTTGCTTTCCTGAATCGGGAGACTTCTAGTGCATTTCTTGCTAAGCACTTGCTAAGCACTCGCTAAGCACTCGCTAAGCGCTCGGTAGGCTTTCGGTAAGCTTTCGGTAGGCTCTCGGCAGATGCTCGATTGCTCGAGCCGCTGCTGAGGCCGTTCTGAGTGTCGAGGGTTTGCTGAGTGCTTGCTGAGAGCGCGCTAGGCGCTCGATGGGGGGGAGGGGGGGGGGGTAGCCGTCCAGTTAAACTCAACCCAAGCCCACAACCCTGAACCCTGAACCCTAAGCCCTGAACCCTGAACCCTGAACCCTAAACCCTAAACCCTAAACCCTGAACCTAAACTTGAAATCCCAATTTCTCCCTGGCCGCGGCCGCTCGGAGCAGCTGGAGTAGCCCTGCTGGTGGAGTGGAGCCAGAGACCTGCCCCTTGGAGTAAAGCAGGGTTTAGGGTTTAGGGTTTGGGGTTTAGGATTTAGGGTCTCGGGTTTGGGGTTTAGGGTTTGGGGTTCATAGTTTAGGGTTTGGGGTTGCCGATCGAACGAAGCAGCGGCAGAGCTACGTGGAGAGGTACATCCCAAAGACCGTGCATAAACGCAGAAGTACAGAATCACGCAGTAAGCGAATAACCGAGTACTTACACAACCCATGCATTTTCTGAACAGATCCCCTTTGAGCCAATGAAACGTTCGGCCAGGTGGATGCACAAATGGGGGAGTGGTTTGCGGGGCCCCCCTTTGATAGGAAGCAAAAGGTTCGCAGTGCCAGAGGCGCAGGGCCTTCGTGGTGCGCTCGAGTTGTGCGAGGGTTTCGCGGTGTTCTGTGGGGCTTGTCCCCGAGTGTGCACTGGCCTTTGCCCTGGTGGGACGGTGCCGAGGGGAGGGGTCGCTGCTTGGAGGCTCATGGTACTTATTAACCAGTTCGAGCTGTACTTAGAACACACTTTCTAAGCCCCGTAAGTGCCAAAAGGGTGGTAAGTACAGTTCTCATTGGTTTTTATGTACCATGAATCTCCAAGCGCGGTCGCTGGAGGACTGCTGGGCTCCCCATGGTCCCAAGTCGATTTCCAGGAAAGCTCCCAGCGGCCCCAGCGGGTTCAGATCCTACCCTGCGGGCAGGGGATCGCTCCAGGCAAACATGGCAGCTCCCACAGAGGAGGGGTGGGGTGTGGTGTGGTGTGGGGGAAGGGTTGGGAAGGTGATCTTGGTCTGCTTGTCGGAGACTCCAGAGGCCAAGGTGAATTCTCAGTGTCTTTCGAGCCTGTGAGCATACAGAAAAACTGAAAATGTGCCAGATTTTGGCGACTTCGAACCGAACAGACCCGCAACGTTGTTGTTCGCAGTTTTTGGAGGCTTGCGATGTTGTACCAAAACGCACTGCCGTGTGTGCAAGGTGAGTAATGCCCCATCCCCATGGATCACAAAGGGGACAAACGAAAAGCGGGTGCAAAAAGGGTCGCGCTGTGGCATTCAACTGCGGAATTTGGCGGCAGCGTGAAACTGAAGTGTTCTCAGGATACCATGGCCCGACGTCCGATTCTGGCCATTGCTCTCTTGGGGGCCGCTCTGTGCCGCGCCCAGTCACGCCCGGCCGATGGTTTCCAGTCATGCGTCATGTGTGTCACACGACAGTGAGAAGAAAGAACGGCCAGAACATTGCTACATGTAGCGTATTGAGGCATCTGTCGACGTATCGAGGTGCTATCTGGGCCTGACACCTGGCAGCAGCTTCATTGCGCCGAAGTCTGCCCGGAGCCTCGAAGTTCGAGATTGTGTGGGATGGTTACAGCGGGTATGCCGGCGATTTGCGGCGACCGAAGGTCCAGAGCTCCGTTGAGGTTCAGAAAGGACAGCTGGAAGGCCCTCAGCGATTGGGACATGTCCCTGGCCATTCGCAGGCTGTAGGGTCTGTAGCTGCAGGTGTGGCCCTGGGCCTTGGGGCTGGCCTGCTTACCGCAGAGCCTGCATACGCGAATGCCCGTGCCCCAATCAAACTCACAACTTGTGCTTGAGAGTCATCTGGGAGACTCGACATGGACAAGCGGGGTCCAGCGACGGTGAGGTGTGGAATGATGAGATCCTCCCGTACTCCTTGAGCATTAGCTTCGCCATCATCTGGGACTGGATCCCAGTATAACCCGTGCCATACTTCCTGGTACTCGGTATCATGAGCCACGCAGATGGGATGTTTCGCTCAGGGTATCATCTTGGGCTTCGTCCTGCTCCGGCTGCAGGAAGCCTTCCCGGAGTGAGCCTCCCGACGGAATGAGGGACAAGCCTCGACAACGGACAGTTGATTGCCAGGGGCTCTTGAAGCGACTTAGCATCGTTTACATAGCATCTGAGGTGATCAGCGACATCGCGCAGGTTTCTGAGTTGGCTTGAACAATCGGCTGATATTTATTGACCTAATCCAGGGCAGCTGCAAGACGGCTTTTTTCCCAAGCGGCCACCGGCCCGACGGCACAAGATGCCCCACGTAAGCCTAGGACCACGGACCACTGATGCCCCTTCAGTTGCACACCCAGACAAGCAACGACCTGGTTGTAAGCCCGACAGGAAGAGCCGGGAAGAGCCGGGAAGAGTGCTTGCGGCGCTACGGCAGCCATCGCGCTCTTCGCTAGCTGCATATCTCTTCAGTACTGTTGCTGGGTCAAGAGCCCTTCCAAAGAGCTTTCGGCAGCGCCTTCAAATGGAGACCACGTGCGTGTGGATAGGTAAAAGTTGGTGTCCATGTTCGTTGTGTCTTTTGTGCTTTGTGAATTTTCTTCGTGCCACGAACGAGGTTGTGCGTTCCTTGAGATCTTCATCCTCGTTGAGTCACAATCGGCGCAGCGTGACCTTCCCTGGCCCATAGCTAGCACAAACCACTGCGTGCACTGAGACAGCTGCTGAAGTAGAAGCCACACCTGTAGAGCTGTCAAAAGAAGATTACATGCAACTTCAGCTTCGGCCGTATCGTCGACATCTACAGGGCGTTAAGCACCAGAACAGCGAGGTCCAGCAAACATCACACATGACATCACAGTGCAGATCGCCCGTCTCGATTCATTGTGGTTTAGCGACAGCAATGCTGCGTTATGACTTCGAACAGGAGGCCCGCGGTGTTTCTTCCCAAGTGAGTAAGCTCTCTATCCCCTTAGGGAACTATTCGTTAAATTTTGTTTATGTAAAACCCAAGAGGATATTAAACACATCATGTTTATGAAGGTTCCAAGGGGAGTATAGAGCTAGCTGACATGCTGGACCGGCTTTGCCATCGTTTCGGCTTGTGTGTTGAGGACTTCGACAAGCAGATCAGAGCGACTGCCTTCGCTTGTACAGATGATGCACTGCCCTGAGCTTGCCAGACTAAACCCTAAACCCATGCTAAACCCTAAACCCTAAACCCTAAACCCTAAACCCTAAACCCTAAACCCTAAACCCTAAACCCTAAACCCTAAACCCTAAACCCTAAACCCTAAACCCTAAACCCTAAACCATGTGCAAGTTGGCATCTGATTTCTGCCTTGCTCGGGCTTGTGGGAAGACGAGGCTGCTGTGTCCGATCTGCGGCAGTTCTTGAGATCCAACACAATCGGCCCAAAGCTGAGTCGACGGTGAGCAGACACGCTAGGAGGAGAGTGCCTCATACACACGTACATATAAATATGCATACACATGTATGTGAATTAGCCCGTTTTGACCTCATACGTTTCGTAATGTTATAGATAAACGGAATGGGTAGAATAGAGAACATTGAGGTATGCTTTCCAAGCACCCTTCTAAAGGAGCCATAAGATTGGAGATCTGCCCTAATTCTCGCGTAGTGAGATTGAATCGGGAAAGCCCTACCGTTGTCGTGGGTGAGTGGGGAGCGAAGGAATACGAGCAATACCACTTTACACAGCGCACCGTGAGTGCACCATCCCTTGGTGGCGCGGAAGTTCGGGTTTCAAAAAATATACAGTCAAGATACATATGGTACAAAATATTGATACCCGATAGAGTATAGTGTATGACCAAAAAAGCACATCAAGATACACATATATACAGAATATTCATACCTGACTCAGTGTAGTATAATCACCGAGTGTGACAGCCTGAGGGCGGGGAGACATGAGAGACGGCAGCGTTGTCTTGACTTGTGGCTCCCAGGACGGGCCAGCATACCCTCTAACCCCTTTTAGAAAAGGCCCTTTATAGGGTTTATTTTGGTGGATTCTAGGGCCTTTTTTTGCCCGTCCTGTTCTGGGTGCTTCCAGGCATCGACCACGCTGTTAAGACGCCCTTCGGGGTGCGGAGGCTGGTCTACGGCGATTTCACAGCCTCGGGGAGGGCCCTGAAATGGATTGCGCCTTGCCGGGGTCTTATAAGAAGCTCTGGGGAGGCAGTTCTCTCGTCTTTCTGTTTTGGGGGCTGGCTCAAAGTGTGGCTGAAGATGCGGAGCCTCCGGGGACCATGTGGGGATGTACTTGCGTAAAGCTTGGCAAGCTTTGACCGCAAGCATCTCCGAGGAGGACTTCGTGCAAGACCGCGTGCTGCCCGTCTATGGCAACACGCACACGCTCTCCACAGCGACGGCGCGCCAGTCCACGTTCTTCCGCCTCTTGTCACTGCTTTCTTGCCATGCTTGCAAAGGCCAGTCGCTGGTTCAGTGGTCTTGGCCTCCTTTCCATGATGCGTTTGAACTTAAGTGCATGCCGCAACTGGCGCGCTGTCTCAGGAAATGAAGCCAGACAAATCGTGAAGCACTACCTCAACGTTGCGCTCCAGCAATTTCTGCACTGCTTTGAGGTTCTAAGCCCTAAACCCTAAACCCTAGCGTGCCCTTTTGGTTGTATACTTGGAGCTTCACGGGTACCTGCAGGTAGGGTTATAAGTAGGGTGATTATGGTTATAACCTTACTTAGGGTACTTATAACTTACTCTTTTGAATCCCTACAAAAGGGTAGTTGAGGGGTTCTACTTGGAAGGTTCATGCGGTACTTGTAAGTAGGGTTGCAAGTTGCCATTTTAGGTTAGAACCACAGTTTACCCTACTTAAAACCCCATGAACCTTAAAACCCTTAAAACCCTTAAAACCCTTAAAACCCTTAAAACCCTTAAAACCCTTAAAACCCTTAAAACCCTTAAAACCCCTAAAAACCCTCAAAACCCTTGAAGCCCCAAGGCCCCGTAAAACCTGTAAAAAGCCCCCCAAACCCTGAAAACCCATATGAAGCCCTTCAAGCCCTGAAAGCGCCCTGAAGCCTCCAAGTGGGGCTCGGGGGTTCCACCGAGGCGACCCACGAGGACGCGCTGATCTTCTGCGGGGCGGGGACGACAGGTGCCCCGAAGTGGAGCCAGGAGTTTCTCTGTTTGTTTTCTTTTTTTTTCTGGGGGGGTGGATTGGATTGTTCTGTGTCATGCATTTCTCACATTTCTTGTTTGTTTTTTCGGGGGGAGGGGGGGGGGCGACTTAGGTTTGTTTTGGGTTTACGGTTCTAGGGCTTGGAGTTTAGGTTCTCAATGCCTTGGGGCCCGAACAAATCCCTGCGGCTGCGAGCAGGTGCCGTGCAGAAGTTCGTGAGCATCATGTGCCGATCAAACTGGATGCTCCCAGCCTTCCAGGCTGGATTTAGGGCTTGGGGGTTGGGATGTTCCCCCTTTTACGAATAACAGTCCCTATCAGGGATTTTACTAGGGGGTACTAGAATCCCTATCAAGGACTGTTAGGACAAGGGAGAACATCCCAAGTTTGGGGTTTAGGGGGCTGGTGTTGCCGGATGTGGTTGCCTCCTCCCTACCACGTGTACACTTTACCCCTTGGCCGCGAGGAGACCGATGCCGATGCCAAGGAGGTGTCAGAAGCTTGGAGCAGTTTGGGGTTTCCGAGGATAGGGGACCTTTCTGGGGGTCCCTTGAAGGGGATGCTACTCTATTTGGGGTATAAAAGGGTTACCCCTATTTTGGGAAATGCCCATTTCCAAGCCGACAAATTCTGCATGTTGCGGCAGACTGCCCAAGGGAGGGGGATCCTTGGAAGTAGGTTTGCGGACTGCCTGATTCATCGCAATCAATGCTCCTCCGCACATCTACACGTCCCGATGCGATGCATTCTGAACCCTCGGCAACCCTACATATCGAGGACGGCTACTTGCGGGAGGATCGCTGGGGCAGCTTTGAATGCACCCTCTGCGAGGTTCGCCTCAAAACGGTGTCTTGTCTGCAGCGGCGTTTTGCTGGAGTTTGCTTTGCCGTTTACTCCAGGTAAAACCGCAGATTTGGGGCAAGCATTTCTTTCAGTGCTTTTGTAGTATGTTCGGTATATTCTAGTCCATCAGTATATCATAGTACACACTATGTTGCTGCCTTGTATTGGGAATGTTCGCATATTGCAGTCTATGCTATTTACTAGACATGTTCTCGTACGTCCTCGTATTCGATCGTATACAATCGCATGTTGCATGTTACAACATTGCATCCTACCCCCTGAGCCTTAAACCCATGGGTTTCGGGGTTTCACCACCCTGAGCCTTAAACCCATGGGTTTTTGGGTTTAGGGTTTGGATTTTTCCCCGTATACTCACAGTCCTTAATGGGGAAGACAATAGTGGCGTCCTATAATCCCTGTTGAGGACTGGGGAAGATCCCGAGGTTTAAGGTTTGGGGTTTGGGGTTTGGGGGGTCGAGGGCCTAGAGGAAGACTCCCCGGAGGAAGCGATGTACCGCGCGCACAAGACCTGCGAGATGCACCAAGCCAAGCTGCTCCAAGAGCGGCCAAAGAATCCATTTGAAGGTGTGGGCTGTTTTGGGGGTTTGGGACCCTAAACCCTAAACCCTAAACCCTAAACCCTAAACCCTAAACCCTAAACCCTAAACCCTAAACCCTAAACCCTAAACCCTAAACCCTAAAGCCAAAACTTTTCTTGGCGCTTCGAGAGGCCACTTCTCTAAGTCATGGTCGCTCTAAAGGACCCCACTGTACCGTGGAGTCTGAGTTAAAGTGTAAGGCGGGGACCATTATGTTTGTTAGACCCCAGGTCGCATCATGCACATCTCATGGTTTGTTCCAGGTGCGATTGTTCTCACTCGTGTCTTGTTGCTCCTTCTCTTTCTTATCAGGATTTATCAGCTGCTCAGTAGCCATTTGGCCTAAACCCTAAGCCCGAGACCCTAAACCCTAAACTCTAAACCCTCAACCCTAAACCCTGAATTTCGAGAGCGCGGCGCAGCCCCTTGGCACTCGCCAGGCACCCGCCGCCTCGTCGTGTTTTGCGACGCGCTGGCGCACCACTCCTCGCTGCTCCCGTTCCGGGAACTCACCAAGCGTTGGGTGGCCGAATTCAGCAGGGGGTTTAGGGTTTAGGGTCAGGGGTCAGGGGTTAGGGTTTAGTTCAGCCTTCTTGGTCTTCATAGGCTTAGGTCAGGTCAGTCTTGGGTCTCTTCAGATCTCACGCTAAGGCTACCTGCATGTGAGCACGGAGCCTTTGTTTGCCGACTCCATGCGGGGATCCCAGCATGTGGACATCGGGGTTCGACGCTACGCTGCCAGTGCGCTGCAAGTCAAGAGGAAGAGCCAGGGTGAGTGACACTGTGCTTGAGCAGCTTCCTTTGGCTTCGCGACCTAAGCCAGGTTTGGCTCGACTCCGGCTGAGAATCAGCAAGGGGACCCCCTAAGGGGAATCTTACGGTAAGCCGTCGACCAGGGGCACCATTAAAGAAAAGGATATGAAAGGACTAAAGGAGGACCTTGAAAAGCGCGCTGAGGGTTGTCTAGAGACACCATAGGGCGCAACACACCTCGCCCGGAGCGGGATTCACACCATCTCCTAGCATCATCGTTTTGTTGCTGTTCATGCTAAATCAGCCCAGGTGGAGCAAGGGCAAAGCATCAGACACCAATGTGGAGCTGGAGGTCTGCGAAAAAAACCCCTGCCTCACACGCACCCTAGACATTGGAGTTGGTTTAGGGTTTAGGGTTTAGCTGTTTTTGGGGTCCTGATTACAAGGGGCCACTACTACTTGGGGGTGTATATGTTGGGGGTCCCTTACAATCGTCAGCCCCCACATGGGTCAGCTCTCCGAATTGTCGTTTGCCTCATCCCTAGATCCCCGGCGCTAAACCCTAAACCCTAAACCCTGCCTGCTGGCAACATGACAGACTTCCTGTGCCTAACCCCGACAGATTCTGAAAGCGAAGAGTCTGGTCTCAGAACCCCAGACCCTAAACCCTCACACCCAGAATTTGAGTTTAGGGTTTAGGGTTTAGGGTTTAGGGTTTAGGGTTTAGGGTTTAGGATTTAGGATTTAGGGACCCATCACGCGGCAAGCTGAGCAGGTTTGCACCCTGCCGCTGGACAATCGAACCGGGCTCTTGGACGAGAAGGCTCGGAACATTGGTACAACAGAGAGCAACCTCAGCCCGACATCCTAACAAGTAGGGTTTAGGGTTAAGGGTTTAGGGTTAAGGGTTTAGGGTTTAAGGTTTAGGGTTTAGGGTTTAGGGCTACTTGACGGTTCATGGGTACTAATACGTAGGGTTTTCAGCACAGTTACCCTACTTCTAACCCCGCTTTTGAGTATCCATGAACCCCCTCGTTAAGCTGACGTAAAACTTGGAATCAACTTTCAAGTTCTATGAGCCCTAAACCAACGCGATGCAAGCCATAGGGGCGTTCTTTTCGTAGGGCCTCGCCAAACCCACTCCAGTACTCTAAGGGTTTTTGTCTAAATCATGGTCCCTCTTTTGGTGCTCTGCGAGGACCTGAAATATTCAACCCCAAACCGCTTGCATGACATTCAGCACGTTGTCCACGCCAGCAACTAACAGACCGCAACCTCGCAACCCCTAAGCAACAGCTCCTCCCAAACATCCGCAACCATGCTCCCAAACACAAACGATGTGGGGAAATACCCCGATACCCCTTCAATGTGGGTAGGGGCACCTAAACCCAAGTAGAATGGACTCCCCTTAAAGGGAGCCCCAAAAAGCTTCACCCTATCTTCGGAAACCCCCATGTGCTCGCAAGTACGGGGCCCAAGAGCAACCTGGGAAGAAAGCTGGGTACCTGTTGTCATAGGGGGTTTACAAGGGTGCCGAACCCCTCAACAGGGAATGAGGGACCACCCTGCGTCCTCCACTAAGAACCCGAAGCCGTCACTTAGGATATATCCCTGACTGGGCAAGTCTCCCAACTCGGGGAGGAGTAGTAGAGGAGCCAAGGTGGGGGGTTTTCGAACATAAGGTAACCCTAAAATAGTAGGATTCCCTTATAAAAAAGACCCCCCAAGAAGGTACCCTAAACCCTAAACCCCAAACCCCAAACCCCAAACCCCAAACCCCAAACCCCAAACCCTAAGCCCTAAACCCTAAACCCTAAACCCTAAACCCTAAACCCTAAACCCTAAACCCTATACGGGGGGCAACCGAAGGAGGACAGGGAACAAAACAGTCAACCCCAACAGAAGCCCTTGATCCCCTGGACCAACAAACAACGAACCAACCCAAAACCAACACACACTTCTTTCTTCAGCGCATGCCCAAGTTCCTTGAGCCAAAAAGATTTCCGGGTACGTTGACCCTTCCAATTCCCAACACCAACTCCTTTCTACAATACCAGCTGCAGCTCCGCACTCCCCCTGTCCTAGGATTTCCTAGGACACATTGGAGGTGCAGATCTTTTGGCCAAAAACTGCCATTAGGGCAGCAGCCAGCTGCTTGAAATGCACAATATGGTTTTACGTCATCCAGGACGAAATTATAGCTCATTGGCTAAACCCACTAACCACAGAGAATCTTTTTTCCACCATGATCCTCTTATCATTGAAGACTCTTCGGCCTTCTTCACCACAAACCGTGGTCTTCGCTACGCGAACAGCTACTGACTTCTACTATCAGGGATTTCCATACCCTCAATAGTAACCACCACATTTTCAGCGCATTGGCCGATTCTGCACACCTGTCTCCAGAAAGAGAAAAACCATCCCTTCATCCATACCATCCAGTCACTTCTTCTTCCGATGGTTATCGATACTGAGGTGAAGTCGCAGCAGAATATGCTCTAGGTCCGAAATTGTAAGAACAGGATCCTGCACGCACCTTTGAATTGAGGATACCAATCCTTCTCTCTTCGCGTCCTCAATCGCTTGGCAAGATTGACCCAGCTCTGCATCCACAGTGATAGACGCTTGAGCATCCACATCAGAGGGACGATCCTTTTCCTCAGGACCTTTCACCACTACCACCTCTTCCTTCTTGGGGCTCTGACTTTTCTCCTTCTTCTTCGTCTTTCCAACGACGTTTGACTTGGTGCGCATTTTCGAGGCTTTTTCACCTGCAGAAACCACCGCATTGGATGATGATCCACCCTTCTCAATGTTCGCCGGCATCTTCTTCGGCTTTGGAACCATGAGAGTATAAGGATCTTCGATAGCTGCAGTTTTCCTCTTCTTCTTGACCTTTTTCACCTCCTCCTCAACGGCAACCTCCGTCTCCGAAGTCTCAACCACCTCCTTTTCAGCAGGAATATCCTTGCTGGACTCCCTTTCTAGGGACCTCTTTTTGCCCCTTTTGGGATCTTTCTCTTCTCCCACGTTGGCTCGCTCGAACCATATCCTCAGGTCATTGACCCATTCTTCCACCTCCGCGAGCGAAACCTCATACGACTTCACTATTTCGTGAAGTTCCAGCAAGGACAGCATACCAGTGGTCCACGAAACCCATTCTCTATCCATCTGGTCAGCGTCTCCATTGAACTTCAGGAGTTTGAACAGTGGGTCCGCCTCTGCTCGAGCCAAATCTGACTTGCCATTGGACAGAAATGAAATCGCCTCCATCAACAGTTCCACCATTTTGGTATCATCGTCGTAAACCATGAAATCCTCCTCACCATCATCGAACTGTTCAGGAGAGATCTCCTTTTCTCCACCTTTTGCGCCAGAACTTCTCCTTGGACCATCCCTTGGGGGCGTCCTTGGAGACCTTGGCCTCTGTTCATCCAGCGAATCACCATGCTCAAAGACACACCTGTCCCCATAACGACACTTCCCAGACTGAACAAACTGGATACACCTTACTCCAGTTGCGTCATGTGAGAACGCACACTCCTTTCCAGCGAAGCAGGGTCTCCCCGCCACATAGTATTTGCACCAATACGAATGCAGCGCCACATCATCTTCTGAATGGATGAATTTGCAGTCTTCACCAAATTTGCAGCGATCTTTTCCCCTGCTGAACCAATAGCAGAAGCCTTTCTTCCTCTTCTCCAAGCGCTCCGCCTCGTACCGGTCCATAGGGCGATTCTGCTCTACATGAACATTGCCATGTACCTGAGAACTGCTCCCTTCACCCAAGGTGCTATCAGTATTTGATGCTTGGAGTACAGCTGGAAAACCTGGCCTTGGTCCTACCACCTTCATGATTGGTTTTCCGCCAGCTCCTGAGCCACGCTGAGACGATCCAAAAACATTGAACATTTTCATGAAGGCCTTTCTAGTGCCGATCTTCTGCACCCTTTTGATTGGATGTTTCATTGCTCCAACCTTGCATCCAGATACGTTCAAACGACACAACCTCCTATACCCAGCTCTATATCCCTTTTTCCAAAGAGCCATAAGAATTCTAGAGGCAGTAACATTCTCCACCTCTACCTTTTCCAACGGTCCCTCACTTCCCGGAACAAACCCATCCAACCCATCCATATCTGAAGACCTTTCCATCTTTTTTGACACCACTTCGTCGAGGTAGTCTTCCGAGATCCAGGGTAAGTTCCTCTTAGAGGAAAGATTGTCACCATTGTCTGGTCCTTCACCAGGATACCCCTTTGTGCTGTCGAAGATCTTACCAGTAGTGCGGTCCTGCGTAGAGAAATCCCAGTTGGAAGCAACGCGAGAGTACACTGACCACAAGAAAATCCTTGTGCCAGCCAGTCTTGACGATCCACTGGATGTCTCCTCTTCCGGAGAAACTTCTGGCGCTTTGCCATCTCTTCCAGTGTCACCAATTGTCTCACCTCCAGCATCTTCAATGGGAATAAGGGATTCATTGTTCCCTTGATCAAGTACCGCATCCTCCGGTCCAAGAACTTCCAGCACCGCTGTCGAAGGATCCACTTCTTCATCCGCATCGTCGTCCATCCTTTTCCAGAGAACCTCCAATTGATCAGCGCATGTCGCTGCCTGAAGGAACTCCATCAATTGGGCCTTCCCGCGCTGCCAGAGAAATTCCAAATTCACCACTGACCCTTGGCCTCCTAGGGTAAGGAACGGAGCAACCAATTTGGCTACCCTCGCCATAAGTTCGACGTGAACTTCCATGCCTGGACTGCGGCTCCAATCGTAGGCAATTGCCTCCATAGCAGTTCCAAACTTATCAGTATTTCTGAATTCCCCTTCCAGACCAGGAGACAGCAATGCACCCATCACCGAGAGAGGATAATTTCCCACCGCTGGCAAGCACGGATTGTCATGGAACGAATGATGCAAATCACCATAATGTCCTTGATCTCTCCTTTGAAAAAGGAGTGCCCCAGTCCCTAGCTGGGCATTCAATTCATCCACTTGAACCATTTCAGCACATATCCTCTGTGCT